TGGCTTGGGGAGAAAGCCTCATAAGAATGTGCCTTCTTTCATTTTGATCATTTTATTGTAACCTATGAACAAGTGACAGTCTCTTCCCTCCAGTGGCCAGTTTGTGTGCTCAGAAAAAGCTATGTGTTCGTGTATGTCTGTGCTGCCTTAGCGATAGGAGAGGGCTGCACCTTCATCCTGAATCAGTTTTTTTTTTTTTATTTGACAACAGATGATAAGATCATTGGTGGAATTTGATCTAAATTGGAGTTACCTACATTGCAACAAAAGTTAGCAATTCTGCAGTAAGCAGAATCGCAAACACTTAACCCAAGCCTGTGGTGAATGTGATTTAGCCCTTGAAAGGATTTCACAGACTCAAGGTCTCATGGTTCCTGGGAGCATCCCTTGTCTCTGAGGGAGAGACGTGGCCACTTTGGCACTGCGCATGGTCGTCCAGATAAATGGGCCCTGGCTGCTGACTTTGAAAAATGATACATAGAAACTAACAAGGGCAGGAAATGGTTGAAAATTCACTTTGATGCAGATGAAATATAAACCTTTTTACTAAGAGCACAATAGTGCACCTGTTCCCCTCAAGAAAATACGATTTTGTTCCACAGCAAATGGGCCTGAGTAGCAGTGACATATACCTCAGGGCCTCTGGGCCTCAGGACCAATCCTCTCATTGTGCAGCACCTTCTGGTCTGGAGAGGCGGTTCAGGGTATAGCTGGTTCAGGGTATAGCTGGCCTTTTCCTTAGAGTTTATTTCCAAACCAAATCCAGGAGGATAATCAAAATGACTTTGGGCCAGAAGCTGGGTGAGTCATGAGCAAACGGGCCTCTCAGAGACCAGGCCCCACTTCTCTGTGGAGTGAATTAACACAGATTGTCAAACGGAGCATCCGTCCCTCCTGAGAATCGCCAGGCACAGCTCTGGGAGGGCGCAGGCACAGCCTCTGTCAGTCCTGCCTCGCCAGAGTTAACTTTCTGAATTTTAGGCCAGTGAGCCCCAGTTCACATAAAAAATTAAACAGTGGTGAAAGAAACTGAATGATCAACATTATGGAATTTGCAATTTTCCCACCCCTTTGTATCCTGGGTTAAATGTTGTAAGTTAATATTTCATGAGTTATTTTGGCCTGGTTTGCATATGTGTTTAAATAAAACAGTGTTCATGTAGAACCATGTCAAGGCAGCGGCCGGGGAACGTGTGAGCAATTCGGGGGGAGTGGGGCTCTCTGTTTCTTGGGGAGGAGAATGTCACTGCGCCTGAGGAGAGGAACCCCTTAGGCATGAGGACTGTCTTCTGGCAACGCTCCCTTTTTCATTTATTCTTTACTCCAGCCTCTGAGGTAGGCAGAGTGGGGATTAGGTTTATGGCAGGAGTGATGTGATAAAAAATAATAGGAACAAAGCGTTTCATAAAATCATAAACCTCAATGATAACTAGCATGCCCCAGAACCCAAGGCAGAAATACACAGCAAGGCCCAATTGCCACAATGCTAGGCCACATTTGGGCAAAGTTGTCAACGATCCTCCACCAATAACAACTTCATAGACTTTACTGTTCCTTCTCTTCTTCATCTCCAGGAGGAACGTTTTCATCAGAACTGGGTATCTGGTGCTTAAGAGTTCTCCTGACACTGCTTCTTACTCACCAAATAGAGTCATAATCCTTAGTATGTAACTTCAAAATCCTTTATACAATAACCAATTGCTTCCCCAAAGAGGATTGTGACTTCAGATGGAGAATAAGCTGCTGAAGGAAATTAACTCTCAGGAAATGAAAGTCCTGTCTTTGTGCGCTTGGAGGCAGGAAAAGAAAAATCCAGAGGCTATCACACAGATGCCAAGCGTCCTTCTTCGTGTCTACAGAACATCAGGACCAGACAGGCGGCTCACAAGGTCGCTCTGCCCTCCGGGGGCAGGGGAAGAACAGGATGGGGCAGCAGTTCTCGGGATTCTTTCTGCCCCTCTCAGCCAGCTTGCCTGAGACAAGGGACTCTTTGAGGCCTCCTAAGGCCGTGACTGAAATCATCCCAAACCACTTCATTTACTTCCCCTTTTGATTTGTTCGCACCAGCTGAATCCTAAAAGATGTTCTGCTTTCTGCTCTTAAAGGGAGGAAAATCTCCAAGGAACGAGGCAGCTGGCATATACCATTTAGTTTGAAAAGGGAAAACATAGATGCTGGTTCTGAAACACGGTGTGCACATCCCCAGGATTAACACGCTTGCCCTGGAGGTCAAATTAGCAAAGTTGATGAAAGCAAATCCACAAGAGCATGAAAATGTCCCATCAAGTCAGGCAGGTCTCCCCTTTCTTTGGGTGCTAGGTCTTTCCTGGGGCGCCAGTCAACAGTGGGTGAGCATCTGGGCCAGATGAGCCACCTCGGGGAGGGTCGCAGTCTGAGTCCCGCCTGCAAGTCTCTTGACCTCTCCCTCTCCAGCTTCGGTTTCCTCAGCTGGACTGTGAGGCGTGCGATGATACCTTCTCCTACTGAAGGGCTTGTTCTGAGAGCTAATGTAGATCCTGGAGGTGAATGTACAGTGGACCCTTGAACAGCATGGGTTCGAGCTGCAGGGTCCACCTAGAGGTGTCTTGTTTTTGTTTCTTCTCTCCATGGATTCCATAATCATGGGTTCAGCCCACTGGGCACATCAGTCGGCTGCAGCAACCCACGTGGGGCTCTCCCAGTCTGTAAGTTATCCTGGACTTTGGACTGGGCTGGGTCAGTGCTCCCCACCCCAAAGGAGTTGAAGGGTCAGGCAGTATTTGTAAATAGGATGGTTAACTTCCTTGCACAAAATGAGGTCCTTGGTATCTGGAGGAGGGGGCGTGCTCCTCGGCCAGCGTTTTGAGCTCTCAGCTTACTGCATCTCCATTTCACCACTGTCATGATGTGATTCCAGTCCTTTGTATCCATTATTACAGTTCAGGTCGCCATCCTGGGTGGTCTGCCCCTTGCAGAACCTGAGAAAGAGAGTCTCGTGTAAAGCATCACAGAGGGGCCAGTCTTAGCAGAAAGACCCAAAGATGCGAGGACCGCAGGTTGAGGGGCAAGGCAGTCAAGCAAGGACATGGCCTCGGCAGAAGTCCAGACTCAGCCAGATCCTCACGTGCTCTGGAGCATGAATATGAGCGAAGAACCACGTCTGTAACCTGCATCGGACAGTCCTTGCCTGGGGGCTGCACTTCCCCTTCCCCCTGCACGAGTAAGGCAGGATGGAGTTTCCATGGCCTTCCAAGTGTTTCTGGGTCACGTGGATATCGGAGAACAACTTCTGCAAAGGGGCAGCTCTGAGCTGGTGGCGGCCAGTCCTCACTGCAGGGCTGTGTGTGGTCACCTACCTGTGTGTGGTCCCACCCCTGAGCTGCGTGCTGACCTGTCACCTCCCAACTGCCAGGGAGACTGGATCGTTCTACGGATGGCCTCAGCCTTGGTTCCTGTCCTCTCAGCCTTTCTTCCCTTGCAGGGGGAGAACTGTTCTTTCAAAATATTCTTTCCTGAATCCTGGCGAGGGCCACCTGTCCTCCAGATGGGGAAACTAATGCTCAGTGGGGCAAGGAACTTCCTGGCTTCCGGGCCTTCATGTCTGTATTCTTCTGCCTGAAACTCTCCTCCCTCTTCACTTGTCAATTCTTATTGATCTCCTAACTTCCAGCTGGAGTGCCCCCCACTCGTCATCGGTCTAGTCCCTCCAAATGCTCTGCCTTCGGAGGCACCAATCCAAGTTGTTATTTAAATAACATTGCCTCTGTAATCATTTATCTGCTCTCTACCTTCTCCCTTAGACTGCAAACTCGATGAGGACAGGAACTATGTACATTTGCTATAAGAATTGCTTGTGTAACTCAGTGCTGGCACACAGTAGGTGTTCAAAAAGCACTTGTTGAATGAATGAAGGAACACAGCTGGTAAGAGAGTTTAAAACCCGGTGTTTCTGTCTCAAAACCATATTCTTTTCCACTCAACCTTTGAGCATGTCCAATCCTCGTTTACTTATGTTTAATGTCTGCCCCAACCTCTGGAAGCCCAGTCTCAAAAGTCAGTTTCCTGCTATCTATATCTCTATCTCTAGCTATAGCTATAGCTATCTATCTATCTATCTATCTATCTATCTATCTATCTATCTATCTATCTATCTATCTATCTATCTATCTATATCTATATCTATATCTATATATTTACATTTATGTCATACCTTATGCCAATAGTGAACCTGCTAAAAAAGTAGTACTTCAGATTTTTATCTTAAAACCACCCCTTCCAGGCTTCAGGAGTGCTTCTTTGTATTGTACAGTTTTGCAGGTTTTGGTGATTCAGTCTGTCTCTTCCTCTCTCTCTCTCTCCCTTTCATAATACAAACCCTTTGATCACATCTCACTCAGCCTCCTGCTTACAGGCTGAAGAGTTCCAATCATTTTAGCTTCTCCTACAAAAATCACATTTCCTTGATCATTTTAGTTCTTTACCTCAGATATTTTCCAGCCATTTGTAACTTTCTGGAGGAGAAAACCAACATGGGCTGGGTATGCCGTTCCTTTGACCACCCCTCCCTGGCTGTCCAGCTTGCACGGGGAAGCCAGTGACTGTGCCAGACCCTGTGGTCTCTCCTGCAGCCCCCAGCCCACTCCCACCCCCTGAGCTGCATGCTGCCCTCTCACTTCCCACGTGCCAGGGAGACTGGATCATTCTACGGATGGCCTCAGCCTTGGCTCCTGTCCTCTCAGCCTTTCTTCCCTTGCAGGGGGAGAACTGTTCTTTCCAAATCCATTCTTTCCTGAATCCTGACAGATGCTGCACCACACTCGTGCCCTGCCCTCACCTTTCACAGCATCCTCCCCTTAGCCAGTATGATGATGTTAGCCCAGATTGCAGTGGCTCAACTCTAAAGACTCAAGTCTCCCTTTTGCAAAGTCCGATAAGCATTGGGTGACTCTTGCATCTTGAGGCCATGCAAAGAAGACTGGGAAATGAAGATGAACACGGTTGTCTCTGTTTTATCTTTACAGATGCACCAATTTGCTGTCACTTAAGAAAATTTTGCTTGGAATTTGGTGTGAACTGAGAACCCTAAGCAACCTGGGGCATGTGTCCACCCTAATAGTAACACAAGCACAGCAAATAAGAAGAGAGCAGCAGAGCTGACAATTCTGCTACAGGTGGAAGCTTTCTCAGCCACCTTCTAGGTAAAAAACAAAGTCACTATTTAACATGGCGTGTCAAGAGGCTAACCAAAATATCTTTTAATTATTAAAATACTTCAGTCACATGCATATGTAGGGCCTTCCCAATGAGCCTGCACATCTCATGCCTTTTGCTTTTGTTGCTGTAGTTGTTTTTTCAACACGTTGTAGATGCTCCTTAATCTTCAGTTGCATCGAGATTGATTTTGTGGTCTGATTTCCAATATATTTTTCATATTTGGTATAATGTGGCTATATTACTTTTATAATGAAAAAATTACAAATTATAAGTAAAAACAAATAAAATACTTCTTTAATTCAATTGAATTGAAATCCAGAAATAATTGTTCTCATTAGGTAGCTAGACCTTGGCAGTACTAGGGCTAATTTAGACCAGATTGGAAAAATTCAAAAATGGCTATTAGCATACACACCAGTTCCTCCAAACATAAATTGCTCTTTCTTGATGACAGACCAGATTTTCTGGGACACAGTTAATTTTGCCCTAGTTCTGGGTTTCCTCGAACACCCTCCAGGTTGGGGCCAGGAGCGGCTGTCAGAAATACCTAATATCAGGACTTGCTTACTGCCTGCTAAGCCTGTAAAAATGTATATTCATATAGGTTTCTTGCAGTTGCCAAATGGATCTTGAAGGGTTTTGCTTTCAGTGCGTCCTATAATGGTAGCTAGGGAAAATGAAAAAAATCCAAATTACCAGCAATAGAGAGAGTAGCGCAAAGCTGTTTACCCTGATGTCATCAAAACAGAGGGGGTGATTTACCTAGAATGATGGGTATCCTTCCTTTCACTGCTAATGTTTTAAAGTGATAGAAGAGCGGGAGGGGAAGTAGGTGGACCGCCTATAAAATTAACAACCAGCCTGAATTCTGCAGTTGAGTCAAGCAGGTTAGGGTGCCCTGGAAAATGAATACGTTCCCTGCAGAGCAAATATACACTTTTCTTCAACCACCAATTCCCCTCACCTCCTGCCTCTCTGAGTGACTAATTGAGCAGTGACTTTTATTGCTTTGATCATTTATGCTATATCTTTTTATCTCTCTCCCACTTAACTCTCCCTGGTCCGTGAAGGGCAGTTTTGATATCTAGCCCGTTGAAATTTGCTGGACTGGTTTAGTGGACCATGTATCTGGAGTATTAAACTAGCAGTGCCTCTCCCCACCTTGGTTCTGCTGAAAAGAAAAACACATTTTCACCCAACTTTTCTGATGAAGAAAACTGAGACCAGTCAGTTGACTTCGGGTGGAAATTATGAATAAGGAAGACAGAGGAGCTTAGTGCACCAAAATACAAGCTGTCTGCTCAGAAGTTCTTGGCTTTAAGATCACATTGTGGGGGTGTCAGGGCTAGGGATTGAAATCTTCTGGAAACTACTCAATGCTTTATTTCTCAGAAATGCAAGCATCTCATGCTGGAGGGAAGGTTCCCAGATGAGAATTGTTCATTCTGTACCTGTGTCCACCTGTTCTGACTCCTACAGAGGAGAAGATGTGAGTAGGGCACGATGTGAAGCCTGCAAGCGCCTGTGCCCAGTTCCCATCACAGTGAACTCTGCTGAGCATAATAAGATAGTGTGGGGCTCTCAGAGGTCCAAGGGCAGCAGAACCCAGCTCTCTCCCCAGCACCATCTGAGCAAAAGGGCTTATGGGCAGTGGAGAGGCCTCCAAGCGTGAATCTGATTCAGGATAAACAAGGCAAGCTGCCAGTGGCCTTCCCTCTCCCCAGCAAGGATTACATAAGCACCTTTCCACTTTTTCAAAAATTAGAAACTCTATTGATTTAGTGCTCACCATGCCGCCGTGTGATTTATGACCCAGAAGATGTCTGACAGCGTTCAGGCTGCTGTGGGCATCCCAGGCTGAAAACACAATGAAGACATGTAGACAGAACTTTCCTCACTTGCGGAGAAGCCTGGAAAACCCTCAGTCCTGTCTTTAAATTCGCCTTAACTTTGCTGAAGACTTCCTTTAGATAAATCATGGGAGGAAGCAAACTTCAAATTTTCCCATTTTCTCTGCAAATGTTTATCTGCTTGGAATGGAAATACCATGACAGCTGCCTTGTTCTGTTTTCTGATGGTCTCTGCAACTTTTCACGTCCTCCTGGTTGAGACAGTTAAGCTGTAGATGCGCTACTGCTGTTTCAACCAGCGGTTGCTGAGTGTCTGCTGTATACCAGCGCCATGATGTATTTTTGAAACTAACAAAGATGACCGCATTAAAACTTATGGTCCTCCCCTCAAAGAGCCGGTGGTATCGTCGGTGTGCAGCAGAAATAGACAGCTGTCCACAGACCTCCTGCAGCCCCTCCATAGTGGAGGATGTCATGGGGACGTGGCTGCCCATTCAGGGACCAAATATCCTAACTTCCCTAAGTCTAGATGGAACTATGACTATTTCTAGTTCTAAATGTGCACAAGTGTTGCGTGTGGTCCAGTCCTGGCTCTTCCCCCCTCCATGCACACACATGTGCCTGCCTACACTCTCTATGTTCTTCTCCTTTACTGCCTGGGCAGAGTCAGCATGCACTCCAGGGCACTCTTGGATGGCTTGCACTGAAAATGGCACTCTCACTGCGATTCTGGTGCCTCTCAAAAGGTCTATTAAGAATATGATTTCTGAAGCAACAAGAATGTCTAGAAAGCTGTGGTCCAAGGCCATTTTTGCTAGCCCAGGGCCTCAAGAAGGCACAGCTCTTAACACTGAAGATGTTTAAGGAGAAGATGAAGTTGAACTCTATCTGGGTAAATGATGTGCTAAAGCAAAGAACAACACAGAGGTTCCTGGTGGCAAGGAAAACCAGAGTGACCTGGGGAAAGGTAGCTCTTGTCATTGGGAATGTTGGTGTGGCTTGTGGCAGATTCCAAAGTAACTTTCCTGCCAAGGCCATTGCACACAGAATTTTCATAATGCTGACCCCTTAAAGATTTAAGCTGCTCTAAAAACAAATAGATTAAATGTGAGTTTTAGAAAAAGAAAATGGCAAAATTCCCATCAAACTGAATTCCTGAATGACTGGGTGAAAGGATACCTACTGACTTACTCACCTGCCCTGCATCGTTATTACATCAACAAGAAAAATATTTTTATGGCATTTGAAGCAGCATTTCCATGGCATTTCTCAATCTATTAATTATAGCAGTCAACCCACCCTAACTAATATAGGGTAGAAAAAATAAATGTATTCCAGTAACCAGGACACAACATTGTGTGAGCAGAACACAGTGGGAAGGCGTGGACGGGGTCACTGTTCAAAACTGCAGTAATTTTGTGTAAAAGCCCTTTGCTGAAAGCTACATCTTAATGTAAAGGAACATAATGAGCAAATACATCAAAATGGGACAAAGGAATCCTTCTCTTAAGTTCAAAATTATGTTCCCCAATGTGTTACTAGGTACTGGAAGTCAAATAAATTGGGATAAGTGGGTTAAACAAAGATTTACAGATTTTTTTCTTCTTAGAAGTTCCCAGAATGGGCCTCCCTGGTGGCGCAGCAGTTGAGCACTGGGTTGCAAAGCTGCCCACAGCCTCTACAGCGCCAGTTCGATCCCCGGCCACCGGGTGAGGGTCCCACATGGCGCACAGACCTTCCCTGCCGCCCGCTGCTCCCCTCAGCAGTGTACTTCGGTCCTTCTGCCTGCTCTGCTCCCTGCTCTGGCTCTGGTGAATTGTCTCACCCTCCCGCGCTTCTGACTGTACCCAGTGCTTGTATAAATAAATAAATAAATCTTTAAAAAAAAAAAAGTTCCCAGGTAATTTGTATTCCACTCTGTACTACAGAAAAGCTGCTTATCACCTTCCAATGACTGTTTATTCTATTCAGAATAAAAGTCAAAGTCCTGACCATGGTTGACAAGACCTAACATGATCCAACTCTGCTTTTCTCTTCCCTGACCTCATGCCATGGTCTCTAAGACGAATTGCCCATCATTGTGTATCCCCAATACTCAGAAAATAACTTTTTTTTTTTAATTAAGTATACATTTATTTTTTTTGAGAACATTTCTCAAACTCAATTGATGCAAGAATTGTAATTTGAAGAGCATCTAGGGAACTAGTATGTTGAGTGTAATATGGAACACATTGCAGAAAACGCTGGTTTAGAGAAAGTCCTAAATTTCCTCCTGTAACTTCATATGGATTCAGAAATATATACAAATACAGAGGACTATAGTCTATTTTATCAGGCACTGGGGATAAAGAAGTATCCTGTGCTGCTTTGTGGAAGACTTTGGTAACTAGCTAACAAACAGATCCATAAAGTGAATGGAAAAGGCAGGACCAGACTCTCCATACTTCCCTGCTTCTCTCCTTCCCTGCCAAGTATTGATGATGAGTGGTTTCACCAGGTCAAAGAATCCCCAGTGGGCTTAGTGGCCAAGTGTCAACAGCACTTAGCTGATTTAATCTCTAGTAATTCATCAAATATCTGACCTGCCATTTGGTTTTGAACCAATTTAGTTATTTCAGTGGCTTTGCTATGGTAGAGCAGGTTATGCTCAGCTTTGGTGAAGCTCCACTTTCTTTTTCCACTTTAGACAGCTTTCTCCAGCACTCCAACTAACTAGGCTTCCCATGTGTTATCCTGCAGGGAATTTGGCATTGGCTGAGAAGTCAAGTGAGTTTCTTCATCATCATTAGCTTCATCCAGCATGTGCTGCTCACCTCCTCTGAAGGTCTGCACGCTGCACATCTCTGTAGAGCAACCCCAAGTGAGGCAGGCATCTTAAGGTCAAAGAAATGAGGGAGCAGAGCAGTTAATCATGTGCAACTCCCATCTGTTAATGAGCAGTGTAAATGGGACAGAATTCATCATTTGCTTTTGGAGACACAAAGGTTAAGTTCTTTGTCCCATCCTACAAATCAAGACACCGTCAGAGCCCAGAATGGAACAGGGACAGTTGACAAGGTTCTTTTCAGTCCTCCAACACCTTCTTCCTCCACGGAAGTGTTTGTTGGCTCAAATATCTCCATGGTGGCAGTCAGCAAATAGCAGTTAAAGGAAAACTTGAAGTACTCAGATAATCGACAGAGGCTTGAGTTAAAAAAACGATGAGAGTCCAAGTAGAAATGTTCCGTCAACAGACTCCAATCCTCTCCAGATTCAAAGACAAGTTTGATTTGCTAAATTTCATCCCATCCAGACTATAAAACAAATGAGTGTCATTTAAAGAAAAGGCTTCAAAATTCTCCAATCATATCGACTCATTTGCTCCTCATTTCCAGGCTTGTTAAATAAGGCAGAATGTCATCTCATCGCATCTGAAAGTCATTTGGGCAAGATCTAAAGGAAAATATTTCCTGGCCATTATTCTTTACATGACTTTTTCTTAAAGTGCCAATGGGGCACAGGGAAATTAAAAACCAGAGTGTATTAATTGGATATATGTCTCCATCCCCACTTCTAGCTTTTGTTTTGCAAGTTTTATATTAGAAATTGGCAAATGGCTTAGGTACTTTGCCAAGACATATAGTTTGGGTCTGTGGGGCTCAGAGGCAGGAACCTGAGATCTTTAAGGCTTATTCCTCGCAGACTTTGGATTTCAAAGTTTTTGTTTGACTCATTTTCCCCGATAAAGTCCCTTCTTTCCTAGATCACGCCACCATTTTTCCACGTCAAAGCTACAGCTAATGAGCTAGCTGCATGAAGCCCAGTTCAAGGCCTGACCCTCCGATAGATACATGACCTTCCCTCTGTGTCACGAGCGCAGAGGGCACCATCCTGGAATCCCATTATTTCAGAGAAGATGAAGTGAGCAAGAGTGGGTGGAGAAGAGAGTAACCTTCCTCCAAAGACTGCTTGTTTTCTTTAAGATCAAGTCCAAATCCCTGTAGAATGGAAGATCTGGCCTTCATCATTACTTCAGCTCATCTTTGTCATTCTCTCACATGAACCCTGGGCCCAGTCTTGCTGATGTGTTTGCCGTTGCCAGACTGTTCCATGCTCTCTCCTCTCTGTTATTCTACAAATATTGCTTATAATAGCTAGGAATTCCTCAAGGAATTATAAACATCGTTTTCTCCGGGAAGCACTGGCCAGGCAGAGTCCGGGGTTTCACTTTTGTGCATCCAAGGTAATTTGAAATATATCCCTTTATAATATATCCTATTTCATGGAATTTTGAGTCCACACGTTTCTCTTCTTTTAAATTGGGAGTTCCTGGAGGGGAACTGGACTGGATACAATACAAGTACTTGACAGGTATTTACTAAATGGAGGATTTTAGTCTCTGCAATATAACCTTACCTATGTTTCCTAATGATGGTGGGCTGGAAGTCTTGTCTTTCCTACATAATTTTACCCACATTGTAGATTCTTCAGTGGTGAGCCTTAGAGTGTCTGATTCTTTGGAACGATGTGGACATAGCCTTATGCATTTTGTAAAGAAAAAAAATGTTTAAAATGCCCACAGAAAACTCTTTCAAAAACATTACATTATATTTGCTTAATGTGAAACATATTAGTAAAATTTTACCCCATATTAATAAAATTGCATATTACTCCTATCATCCAGGAAAGATCCTAGGTGAGGAATTCACCAAGAAAAGAATGGTCAGATCATGCTTCCACAGGATTTTTTAAAAGCTGCAAATGTGGAGGAAAGAATGTTCCTAGATGTGTTATTGCATGATTTATAATCCTCTCAATCCTAAGAAGCAAATTATAGTCTAGCAGATGGTTCTCTCAAGCCCTGTAGCGCGGGTTTGTCTGTAGCTATAGTTACATGTTTTAAGAGTCAGAGACATCTCAGTGAATTGTTATTGAATCATAGAGCTTCTCGGAGATGCTGAGAGGCTTCTCCACCCAGAGAAGATGCGTGACTCTGCAGCAGCCAACCCCTCTAGCTCACTTCCTGGCAAGGACTTTCCCAGCTGCCTGAAGCTACGCTTTCCAGGCCGCTCTTTTCTCAAGGAACCATCCTCTTCAGCAGCGTTGGTCCCATCTGCTGGATGCCGCTTGATGTGGAATAACTGATACTCCTAGAAGACAGGAGACAGATTTTTGTTGCTTTGGCTCACAGAAATATTCCAGGCTTTGGTATAGTGTTGGTTCCCAGGAGACATATAATAACTATTAAATGAGGGAATGACTGAATGAACAAATAAAAGATTCTGATTATCTGACCTCTGTGGGTTAGTGTCAGGAGGGATGGGAACACCCAAGTTCAAAAGTGTGTGGGTCTGATCCTTTCTCCACTCTGTGCCCAACCTGGCTCTTGCCTGGATTCTCATTCACTCTTTTTAGCTACCTGAGAAAATTATTCCCCTCCCTCTGGCCGGCGAGCACTGCTGTTTGCTGTCCTATCCATTGAACTTTGATGTTACACCATCCATCCTTCCGCTGTGGGGAAGAGTGACAGGTCTGGTCCTTCCTCAAAGTCCTGTCTCCCTGCAAGTAAACTTCCATCCCTGTCCAGTGAGCCCTGGTAAGTTTTGAGAGAAATTATGAGCCCACTGAGGCCCTGGCACTGAAGCAAATGAGGCCATCTGAGAGAATTATGGACGCATCTGTAATTGCACACCTGAGTTCTATCTTTACATCAGTTGGTATAGTTTTCTGATTCAGACCTCCTTCCTTGAGACATAAAATCCCAAGCCCCAGAAGACTCAACTTCTCCTTCTCAATGGTGCTTTGCAGATAAGACCCTTCAGAGATTACCAAGGGTCATTTTAATCAAATGAAAGACATCTCTTTTTACGATGGCTTTGCTGACAAATAATTAAGATGAATTACTAGCATATACTTGTCCCAGCTGCCTCATTGGTGTCCATTTGGAGTAAGCATATGAAGCTCACAGCCCATGCCTCAGCTCTTTAAAAGCAATTTATAACCGAACTCACCATCCTAACTACCTGAGAAGATTTTAATCCTAAACCTGTCACCACCCATTATTTTCACGGGGTCCTGACAGTTCTACATTAAAACAGTTTATAAGTAAAAGTTAACAAGGCCTAGGGAACATGATTTATGTTTCAGCGTGTGAAAGAGCCAACATTCTCTCCCTGACCAAAGATAGCCCAGAGCTCTCTGTGGACGGAAAGAAGAAAATTATCTCAGAAAGATGAATGGCTCCTGCCTTTGGACAGGTGGTGGATGTGTGGGCCTGGGGCTGAGGCTTGGGCATCAAGCAAAGTTTATGAATGTAAAGAACAATGTGTCCCCCCACATTCCTTCCTGGCATCACCACCCACCTAGGTCTACCTCACATTTCAGGTATTTGGCAGCATGCAGGAAATGTAAGCTTTTGTCTTTACAAAATATTGGTGACTTTGGAATTCCCTTCCATTCACCGAAGGCAGGGTTAGGCCTGACAGGACTGTCTTGTCACTGACAAACATGGATGGGTGAGTCAGAGGCAAGGTGGGCGTTTATAAAAAGCCCTTCTTGTCCCTTCTCCAAATAAAAACAAAACCCACCTTGGGGAAGGTAGAGCAGCTGACGTTTTCTTCACCCTTGAGCTCCTTCTGCATGTACTGATGGACCCTCCTTCCGACAAGCTGCTGGCTGGCAAAGCCTGCCTTCCTCCGCCCCAGCTGTGCCAACTCTCTAGCACCACCACAGACGGGGCTTCCGCATTAGAAAGGGGTTTTCCCACAGTTCTGGAAGCGACAAGTCCAGGTTGAGGTGCTGGCAGATTGGCTTCTGCCGAGGCCTTTCTCCGGTTTGCAGAGGCCGCCTCCTTGCTGTGTGCTCCCAGGTCCTTCTAAGCACTCACATCCCTGGTGAGAATTTTCTCTTCTTATGAGAAAGTGGATAAGTGCTCGCTCTAGTTGCCTTGTTTTAACGTAATCATTCTTTAAAGTCCCCCTCACCCGATGAAGTCCCATTCTGAGGTTCTGGGGGTTAGGACGAGTTTGGGGAAGGCGGACACACAATTCCACCCTGATACAGGTAACAGCCAAGGCACTCCAGCAGAAAACCCTCCAGAGGAAATGCATCAAGGGTTTCTCTAGCTTTCAGAATGGCCCCACAGCCCCATTTTGAGGAATAAAAAGCAACTTAGGCCGCAAAGGAAATAGAAATACCCTCCTAGAAAGGAACTTCAGAAAAAAAACGCTTTCAAGCAGCTCCGCCAAACAAACTCCTCCCAAAGATGTTAATTGCGTTCCCCCAAACTCCTTTTATGCATCACAGATCAAAACTCTCCTTTTTACTTTTTAAAGAAGGAGGTTTCCCCTTTCTCAAGTATATCATTAAGGCCACTTCCTCTCTTTGCCACAAGTGCATCCCATTTTTGGTCCCCAACTTTCTAAATGTGAGCCAGCGCTACCGTGGCATGCTGGTCTGTCCCTTATTTCAAGTCATCATAAGCTGGTGTGGCTGGAGCTCTCCCCGCACACCAGGCTGGGATATTTTCACTGTCACCAGGATAACGGACTAAGATAAGAGGCCAACGTGCTATTTTTACTCCCTATTTTTTTACTCCTGGTGTTAAATACAAGGAGAACACGGGAAAAACAAACTACCTCAGCCCTAGCAGCAACCTCTTTCTTATTTTTCCAGCTGGTCTCGATGTTCCTCAAGGATGACATGGATACTGTGGAGGCGATTGGGGCTGAGATGTTGCCTCTTAATTGTGTTTGCAGCCCAGAGCAGAAAGCATGCCCATGCGAGGTGCTTGTTGTATCATTTTTAAATCAAGGCCATCTTTTTCTCAGTGCTAAACGTGAAATGTTTTTAAAGGCCAGACTTAGCATAAAATCTATTGGTTGCCATGGATACCACTTACCACACAGGACTGCGCTCTGTGTTCGACTGTGTGATTTTCTCTATTCAAAGGTTCAGCATTGTCAAAAAACAAATTACTTTTTTCTGTTGTTTATCTCAAAGTTCATTACGGGGAAGGCAATAACTAAGAAGATATTCACCTATGGAAGGAGTGACGTGGAGAGGCACTTGGGCGCTAGGTCTTAAAATTCAGTATTTTATAATAATTAGAGCCAAATTGGCTATTGTGAAGAAATAAAATGCATTTTGATCTGTTTTGTGTGCATGTGAATATAAAGTAAAGCAGGTACTTGGAAGTCTGCTCCCGACAAAATTACATGGTAATAAGGCTTTTCACACCCACACGCCTGCCTGGGAAGGAGCTGGGTGAGAGGGACAGTGAGCTCTGATAGGCTTGGAACCTGGTACCGGAGGCTGGTGGCATTCCCCTTCAGGAGAGAAATCGTGGGTTCAGAACCTCAGGCTCACGGAACAATTCATGCCCTCTTTCCGCCACAAGTCCTCAGGGCGGAGAGCTGGTGTGCTGCTGCTGTTAAATGCAGAGGGCCAAGCTCTGCGAGGACACCGCCACTGCTGTCTGCTAATTAGCGTGAATATTTGCAGCTGGCAACTCCCTCCAAGCCCCACCTCTTCTTCATTCCACCTCCGCTCCTCAAGGAAAAGGGGGGGCGCCCCACAATGAATTGACAGAAGTAGCAAGAGGGAGTTTCTCGCATTACTGGAGGGTATTCAAAGATAATTCGGTGTCAGCAAGTTCCCATTGGCTGAAGCCT